ATAGGCAATTTAAAACCTAAGATGCAAGTTGCTTAGGATTTATTTTATTCAAATGAAGGTAAAAAAGTTCTTTTATTATTTTATTATACTACTAATCTTAGTATTATAAATTATGATAAAACAAAATTTTTATATTTAACATATATGTTAAGTTTAACAATTTTTTGTTCATTATATAAGTTCCTTATATTAAAAGTTGTTCAATAATAATCAGATTCTAATAAAAATTAGCATACTATGGCTTTAAAATAGTGTAAAACTATATGCAAAATTTAAGCATACATTAATTTAAAAAATATTTTTATTTATGTTAAAAAACTGTTCTAAAAAAGTGATCAATATGGATGTTGATCCTCTAATTGAAATCAACTGCTATGCCGATCACCTATATTATATATAGTGTTTTGTGAGAAAACTTCAAATATAAATATTTTTTTTTAAGTTTTCGAAATAAGTGCATAAGTAATATATAATTGATTAACCATCAATTTTTTTTAAAATTAAATGCACTATACACTGTACTTATTAAATGTGATATATAATTATAACAATTAGCGTTTTTTTGTCTTCAGAATAATTAGTGTGACAAATTTAACCCCTTAACTAATCCTAATTCTACCCTAATATTAATCCTAATACTAATCTATTAATCCTAATAATAAGGGGTTATTTTTTGATAAGGGCAATGACATAGTGATATATTACTATATAAGGTACTAAAAAAGTTTGGTATTTTGCCTTCGTTGTCCTAGATGCAAAAATAAATTTATCACGTGAAATTCGTGTATATTCATACCCCAAAATTTCTGTACCCCAAAATATTTTATCGCGGATATATAAGGGTTCTACTTTTATTTCGTTCATTTATCTTCTCTTCTGCAAACTTCCCGACAAATATATGCACACGCAAAATAAATAAAAACTTCAAAATCGTTTTTTTGATAGTTCTATTATATGGCATTTTCTTTAACAAAAAAATTTTTTTCCTTTTCTCTTACCCCTCTACCCTCTACTACCCTTCTTCCTTATTTTACTATTTTTGTTATATCTTTTAGTCGGTTGTCCGTCCGTCAGTCCGTCCGTTTCTTTTCGATTTTCGGTTTAGGTTTTAGATGGGGCCCCGCAATTTTTTTGTAGGTTTTCGGTAAGGATATCCTTTTCTCTTACACCTCTACCCTCTGCTACCCTTCTTCTTTATTTTAACTATTTTTGTTATATCTTTTAGTCGGTTGTCCGTCCGTCAGTCCGTCCGTCCTTTTTTTTTCGATTTTCGGTTTAGGTATTAGATGGGGCCCCGCAATTTTTTTGTAGGTTTTCGGTAAGGATATATTTTTCTTCCCTTTTATTTAGTTCGCGTGTGCATATTTATGTTTAAGGAAGGTCAGGTAAACAAATAAAAAATTAATAGGTTTCGTGTTTTTTTTTGATATATGTAAATTATATATGTATTTATATTAATAAAACGTTATGATAAAGTATTGTATTATAATAAAGAATAACGAAACCGTTCATTTTATTTGAAAAATAAACTTTTTATTTTTTTATTTTGTGTTATCAAAGTTTTTAAAACGTGTAATCTCGCGATCAAAGTAGAAAAATACATATGTTTTATTGTTTTTTTGATTATTTTCGTTCTTTGAACAAGTCTAGACCAAGAAAAATAAATTTGTTTTTTTAACAATAAAGGAGCCTTTCATAAAGTACAAATAAAAATCAGCAGCAAATTTCAAAATTTTAAGTCCAACAACAAAATAATTCGGCCAACTAGACTTAATTATTGTAAGAAAGTAATATACTACTTGCATTGTGACTCAAAAAATTATTACATGATGTTTTAAAGAACTTATTTAAACTTGCGTCTCCTGGGATTGAAGATCTTTGGAAGCGTGGGTACAGCTATGAATTTCATCGTCCAGGCTAGTATTGCACTTATTATTGAGATAGGCGAAGATTTGTATGATTGCCTGTTAACGCAAAGCAAAGATATGTCCTGGCGATTAAATCATCCGGAATGACATGAGTCGATTAATTAATCTTTAATGATCAATGTTGAAGTCGGTGCTTTACCAGATTCTGAAGGTTTTTTTTTTTTTTTTTTTTCGCCAAAAGTTAAAAGAAAAAGAAAAAGAGACATCTGCAAAATATGGAACTTTGCAATAAAAAAAGGGTGAAACTGTCGGTGAAAAAATAAAAAATGAGATAATGCTAATCTTTACATATTTTGGTCTAAAATCATATTTGTCCTATAAAAGTAAAATTTATTTTTTTCAGGTATTTTCCCTCCTTTCTATTGCAAAAGGTCCCTTATAATCGAAAATGTAATTCGTGTAACCCTTTTTATTATTCCACTTTTTTTTTTTTATTTTACAAATAATATAGACACGCGATTTACTGATAGTTTAAGTTATCTGAAATCGACATGGTGGATTTTGTATTAACTAAGATATTTATAATCCAAAAAAAAAAAAAAAAAAAAATTCTCGAAATGATCGATAAAAAAAAAAAATACAACAGAAATGCCTTTCTTGTAAATTCTCATACCCTAGTTATCAAAATACTTTCATGAATAAGATGAAATAGTTGACATAGGCAGTTCTGCGGACATTACCTCGTAATATGTTACATGAAATTTTCCATTCGAACAGTTAAAAAAAATATTGAATTTATTGGTGTCGGATTTTTCAGCCGGAGCTCTGCAATAATCCTTTAAAGATTTTAATTTCTACAAGAGTGAAATTCTCGAAATTCCATTATTCATAATAATTTAAGACATTAAGAATGAATTGATAAACCGATTTAAGAGGAATGAAACTTGCGAAAAAGCTAATGATGACGAAAAGTTAAATGAGGGTAAGAGACCCACGGCAAGTTTTCCTACATTTAAAATGATCGTCCTTTTCCTTTTACGGAATAAAGTTTTAGATCAAGGATAATTAAAAAAGAAAATATTAATGCTATTCAGCGAAATAAATTATTATTAATTATTCATGAATTTTTTTTAAGAGTACGCATTTTTAATAAGTGGAAACAAACATGATTTTCGGATCGGACAATTTATAGATCTGCTCAATTGTCAAACCTGATCGTTTTCAGAAACGACCCGATCCCGATCTAGAAATGTATGCTTAACTGAGATGGCATTGCATGGATCCCTGAAGAATTTGGTTGTTATAACGAGATGAAATGTCGTTTAAAAAATGATTAAAAAAAATGGGTATCGACACTTGTACGATTAATTTTTATCGAGTGATTTCGAAATAAGGTTTCGATGCCAACATGTGAGAGTCAGTCATGTGTCATTTTCTATTTCAATTATTTCAATGCGCATGAACCGAAAGGATGACTTTAATTATGATCGAAAAAAATTGATTTCACCGGGAATTTCATAGTGGAAATATCCCAAACATCCAAGTTAATGACGGGTAAAATGACTTTTTAATGTTACAATTGATTTAAAGGATCAAAAGAATATGAATATTTGGGCGATTATTAAGAATTTTACGACGATGAATCTATTAGCGTTAGTACATTAATTAGTATTGTTTTTTTTTTTTTAAAAAAAAAAAAGATGTAGGCAGCGTTTCATTATTATTATTGTAAGGTGGCTTTTTTTTAAAAAAAAAATTAAATAATACCCTGGTATTTTCCATTGCTGAATAGCCAAATAACATATATCACGTGATATATCGGGTTTTTTAGAACTTTCTTAATAATAATAAGTTTGGTTAATAATCGTTATTGTTATCTTTCCTTTTCCAAAAATGCATGAGTGAAAAACAGATTTTAGGAAAGTGTAACAAGATCATAAAAACTTGCGCGAACCTCTAGCTAGTGCATGGTAAAATTTTGGACAAACAGTTTGAAGCGGTAAACAAATGAATGATAGTCGCCTGCATCAAATATAGTTATTATTATATCCAGGAGAGGAAAAGAAAGAAAAAAGTTATTCCGTAAATTATCTTCAATTTGTTCCTAGCGGTTTGATTATATAAAATTTTTTTTTACCAAATTAGGAGCGATCATCTCCTGTAGGAAATATTATAATGAGGAAAATTTAAACCAATGAAATGAAAATCACCTTTATATAGGTTTTGCATAGCCGTCGTTATTGCGTAATTTCAATCTTTATTGGTCATATAAACAAATAGCACACTTTCCTTTGTTATATATTCTTTTTTTTGCATCGTTTCAAAAACGAATCGTGTAACAAGCAGGTATTTTTATTTTCTCTTTTTCAAACTTATCCGTTTATTTAATTTACGAATTTGTACATTAATGCCCCTCCAAATAGCACATCATCGCATGAATGGTTAGATAATAAAACTTTATTTTTTTTTTTTTTTGACCAATAATGAGATTAAAAGGTTAATTTGAAAAACAGCAACATATAAAACCTTTTATTTAAATACAAAAATAATAAGTTATTGCTCTTCCATATCGCGCAACTTAACGATAAAATTCATAAGCGAAGCAATCAATACCATTCGTTATTGTAAGAAGAGCATGCATTCTTTTATCCAATTCTATTTTAGGAACTTTTTTTTACTTTCTGCATGATTGATCGGCAAATCGCTTGCTTTGATTTATTGGTTACCCAAACTAAACTAAAATTGGTAACAACATTAATTTAAAAACTTCCTTAATTTGGAATTTATGTTTGTTGCTTTAAATAGATTAAAATATACGTAATACATAAGTATTTTATATACTGCAAAAGAATCATATCTTTCCAATTCTTATAAAAGAACATGAAATTTGCTCTCCAATTTTGTTACTCATTCTTCGCTAGTTCAATTTTTGACTGGCATATCTATCTAATTAACCCCTTTCTCATTTTAATCATTCATTAATCCTCAAAAAAAAATTCCTCGATCTATCTATCATCCCCCTTCTCTCACCTCTCGATCACAAATTTAATTCGTATTCCTAAATCTTTCTTCCCACCTTTCCTACACTCAAACCTTACATGTGTCATTTACCTTTTTAATATTTAACAAAAAATGAAATCCAATCTGATTTCTGCTGCTCTTGTTCTCTGCATTGCTACTCTTGCTTCAGTTCATGCATCCCCAAATCCTTCTTGTAGGCAATATATCAATGAGCGCAAAATTTGTATTAAAAATGCTGGCAATATTTCCAAAGAGGATTGCATATGTAATTCTGAAAAATTATTCACTTTATATAATGAATGCCATGGATCTGACGATCCTGAGCAATTCTTCATAACCGAACTCTGTAACATTGATTCCAACCGTAAAAAAGTCATCAAAGGTTCTGGTTCTAATTCTGACGTCTTGATGAAGAGGAAGGTCGAACCAGAGCAAAAAGAACCTAAAAAAGAACAAGAAAATAAAGATAAAGAAGCACCCAAAGAACAAGAGAAAGAAGTTAAAGATAAAGAAGCACCCAAAGAGCAAGAACAGGACGATAAAGACAAAGAAGAACCCAAAGAACAAGAACAAGAGAAAGATGTTAAAGACAAAGAAGAACCCAAAGAACAAGAACAAGACGATAAAGACAAAGAAGCACCCAAAGAACAAGAACAAGAGAAAGACGTTAAAGATAAAGAAGCACCAAAAGAGCAAGAGCAAGACAATAAAGATAAAGAAGCACCCAAAGAACAAGAACAAGACGATAAAGACAAAGAAGCACCCAAAGAGCAAGAACAAGACGATAAAGACAAAGAAGCACCCAAAGAGCAAGAACAAGACGATAAAGACAAAGAAGCACCCAAAGA